GCACGGGCCAGCACCTCTCCCCGCCAGCCGCTCGTTCATCCCTGCACCAGAGCCGGACGGCGCCTCTCCCCGCCAGCTGCTCGTTCATCCCTGCACCAGAGCCGGCCCGGCAAGGGCCAGCACCTCTCCCCGCCAGCCGCTCGTTCATCCCTGCACCAGAGCCGGCCGGCACCTCTCCCCGCCAGTGGCTCTTTCATCCCTGCAGACTCTTGGTTTTTGTTGTTTCGTTCCGTGTGGCAGCCCCAGGCCGGCAGGGGAAGTGGAGGAGTTGGCACGTGGAATCTCTGCCCAGGGCCTGCCTTCCAGCCCCAGGTGGGTCCAGGGAGGGACGGGCCCTGCTTTCCAGACACTCTGGGCAGCAGCTCTAATGGGACAGGGCAAACGAGATCAAGCGGCGACAGCCTCTGGGAGCTGTAATATCCTGGTCCCTCAGTGCCAGCTGCATCCTGGGTGGGGTGGGGGGTGGGGGGAACAGGATGCTTTAGCTAAAGGCTCTTGTCCCTGGCCCGGGTCTCTGCGGGTGGCGGCCCCCTGCCTGCGTGTGCTGCATGGATTGGTTTGCCTGGTGCAAACTGCTCAGAGATTTGTAAGCGACTTTGTCTTTTTCCGAAGTTGATTAAGTCTGTGTCTGTCTGTCTGGGTTTGCTCAGGAGCTGGTGCCCGCGCACTGGGGGCCTGGCGGGTGCCACCGGCCTCAGTGGGCGCAGGGAGTGCTGGGCGCGGCCCTCGCTCTCTCTCCTGTTGCCATTTTTGTACCTTGCACATTTTTAATAAAGAGAATCCTGGAGAAACATGGCATGTGGTGCTGCTCTGTCTGTCCATCCATCCACCCAGAGCTGGCTGGGGGCGGGCACCAGGGAGGGTGGGGGCTGGGAGAGTGTCTCCCGTGTCCTGGGGCCAGGGCTTCCAGGCCTCTCCTCTCCGGCACCATGGTCCCCCTGCAGTGGGGGGATGCAGAGAGTGCAGGGAGTGTCGGTGTGGGGCTGGGGGCTGCACCACAGGTGAAGGTGGCATGTTGCTGTGGGGAGGTGGATGGGGGTGGCCTAGAGATGGGGCAGGGGTGGGGGGCCATGGTGGGGGCTGCAGCATGGCCACCCCAAGCATCCCCGGCTCAGGAGAGACTCCAGAAGATTCCGCAATTGGCCTAAAAATCAAGATATTCACCCTAAATCACCAGGGTTTATTTTCTCATTGGCTGTTGAGGGTTGTCCCCCCCCCTCCAATCTCTGCCCGATCGTTTCAGGGTCACAGTTCAGCTCCGCTGGGCATCCAGCCCCAGCTCAGAGGGACTCTACCCAACATCGCAGAGTGTCGCCCTCCCAGCACCACCCCGACACCAGCCCTCTCCTGTCCTCCCGTCTGCCATGCTCCTCTAACGTCTCCTGGTGCCCCTGCCCCCCGGTTTTACTCCTTCCCGCCTGCCCCTGCATGCTCCCTGTCTCCTGGCAGCGGCCTGCCCTGGTGCAGGGCCGGCATGCCCGGCTGCATGGATCTCCGCCCCCCCCCTCCCCCGCACTGCACAGGAAATTGGCCTGGAGGGTTTCAAAGTTCTAGCAGGCCTGAGACCCCGACCTGTCTGCAGCCGCCGTGCCCTGGCTGGGGGTGACATGTTCAGAGTGACCCAAGGGGCACAGGGTGAATCGCTATCACCTGCTCACAGTGCGAGGGAGCCACTGGGGAAAACTCGCCCACCAGCGCCTCGCTTCGGGCTCCGCAAGCCCCACTCCTTCCTTCTGCTGGCTGCCAATCTGCAGCCCAGCCCTTAGGCTCCCGGAGTGAGTCCTTGGAGCAGAGCAAAGTTCTCTGGTCTAGAGTCTGACTGTCCCCACGTGGCTGGGCTGGGGCGGTCGTTCTCACGGGCTCTCGCTGCGGGGAGCTCGGAGTGCCACCCCAGGCACCAGCGTCACCCCCTGCAGCTTTGGCCACAATAGCCTACGAGTGACAGTTTCAGTATTTCCCGCACATCCAGCCTGCACTAACCAGACAGCCAGCAAGCTGTTGGCTTTCAGCTGAGGCCCCACCCGGCCCCTTGGTGCCCTATGGCGACGCTGGAGCGCAGAGTGGAAACAGGCCTGTCTAGGCAACGCCCTGCATCTAGACGCGTAGCTGCAGACCCCCGTCCGTTGCCAGCCTGGGGCGCCTGGGTCACACTGGGGACTGGCTCGCAACCAGCAGGCTCCCATTGTGTACAGGCCTTTCTGGGCCCTGGCCAAGTCTCTCACACCACATGTTTGGGGCCAGGCACAAGCCCTGGTGCGGTGCACATGAAGTGAGTATCACACAGGGTTGCACATGGCCATGCCATGTACATTGCACGCCAATACGCCTGTATGGTGTGTTCACGCACGAGTCCGTGCTGTGCACGGACCAGCACCAGCCAGCCTGCCAGGACGGCGGCTCAGTGGTGCCCTCTAGAGGTGAAGCAGGAGGATTAAGGCTGAGCTGCTAGGGGCTGCCAGGCTTATTTGCATATGGTGTTCTCTGCCTCCCCCTATGGGCGATAGGGGAAAGTTGAGGGCTGATGTGATTTGCATACTCATCAGAGAGGCATGGCCAGATGCCCAACGCTGCCCCAGCCGCACGTCTCTCCCTTGCACCCTCTGGAGCTGGGTAAATTTTGCTCCAGGGCCAGAGGGCTCTTAGTGGGGGTCCAGAGTGAGCAGCCAGGGGGCTGAATTGGTGGGGAATGCAGCCACCCTCAGCAGGAAGCCAGTGGTCCCAGCTTTGGTCTCAGGACCCGAGTCTCCTCAGAGTAGGATTGTTAGTAGAGCGTTAGGGGTGTCTGGGGGGCTGGTGCCTGGGAGCAGGTAGAGTGGGGCCTGGATGTTCCAGTAGAAGGTGTTGCTCCAAGCTTGATGTAGCTCCTGGAGGTAGGTGTTTGGGGAGAAAAAGGAGGTTGTACTTGCCCGTGGGGCAGTTCATATGGACCAGCAAGGTGGGGGTGGGGCCTTGAGTAAAGGATAAGGCTGAGATGGGGGAAGGGGAAGGTTTGCAGAACAGAGAAGTCAGGCTGAGGCTCTGAGGTGCTCGTGCGCCCCACGTGGCCCTGGGGTGAGGGCCTTCAGGCCTGTGCCCGCTGATCACCACACAGCTGGTGCTCTGCTCAGTCTTGGCTGCAGAGCAAACAGGCGTGAAGGCTCTGGGGGCGAATCCCTGCCCCACGCCGGTCCCGTGGAGTCACCTCCTCTCACACACACACCCCGCTCGTGTCTTGCAAAGTCCCTTTATGGAAACCTGGCCAATGGCGTCCTTGATGTCACACTGTCACCATGGAGACAGATGCTGCCACAAATGCAGGCGCATCTCCACTCTGCTGAGCCCTCTCCCATCGGCCTTCCCCCCCCCCCCAGGCATTACAAACACGCGGCCCAAGGAGCCCAGTCAGGACTGGGGGTTTCCTGGTGACGTTGGGCAAATGAGAGTGGAGCCTGAGCGCATCTGCCCCCCTCCGCTGCCCAGCTGGGGTTAATCTGACCCTCATGCACCACGCGGGGTGGGATGGGGCTGGAGCTGTAATTCCAGAGCTCACCCTGGCCCTGGGGCCACCTAACGAGCAAAATGCCGCAAGCCAGGCCCTGTCCCCCAGCCCGACGGAGAAGAGCTGAATCGTGAGCGGCCCGGGCCTGGGGGAGCCCCTGAGCCGGTGGGTTGGACCCTCTCCACTGACCCCCCCGAGCCATGGCTGCCCCACTTGCCTCCTCGTTTCCTCCCACCCCGCCCCCTGCTCCAGCTGCTGAGCTCCTTGCCCTGACCGCGCCTGCAGTGCCCAGCAGGGCTGGCTGGTGGGGAAGTCCAGGCCATGGGGCACTGCGGACTCAGGGGCCCCAGAACGGAGCCCGACGCCAGGCCCTGCCCAGACACGGCGGGTGCTGCTACTCTAGCTCGGACCCCTCAGCAGGGCTGCGGGAGCCCTGGGAAGAGTCTGGCTTGGCTCTGGCCGGGGAGCCTGGGTCCCGGGGGATGGCTGGGCTGTGTGGCTCCTGTGCGCAGGCTCCGCGGTCCCCGTGGGGATGGCAGTGCCCCCGGGGCCTGTGCAGAACAGCGCCAGGAGGGCACTAGGACCTTGGCAGCGGCTGAGGGAGAGCCGCTCTGTCTCTTCAGCCGGTGCCTCTGCAGCCACTTGTGGAGACGAGAGGCTGGAGCCAGCGAAGCGCTCGCCTGCCACTGCTGGGGCATGAGCCAGAGGTTCACCGTCACGGCCCTGCCCCGGGAGGAGGGGGCCCCCTGCCAAGAGGCAGCTGCCGCTCTCCATGGAGATGCCGCCCCCCTGCAAGGGGCCCAGCCTGGCAGCCTCTCCCGAGAAGACAGCAAAGGTAAGTGATGCTCGGCGGGCACGGTGCGGGCACCCCGGGGCAGCACAGAGGGGCTGGCTGCTACAGTGACCTGCCAGGAGCCCTCCCGGTGGGGGGCAGGGACAGTGCTGGGCTAGGGTGGGCGGGGCTGGCTGCCCCAGTGGGGCAGTGGGGCAGTGGGCTGCACCAGCAGCCATGTCTGAGAGGAGCCGGGTTCCTGAGGCCTGTGACTGACGCCTGACCGGGCTCTGGCCCTGGCAGCCTTTGACGTGGCCTGGCCGGTGGCTTGGAGCAAAAGTTGCGGCTGTGACTGGAAAGAGGGAAAGTGCCTGTGGGTCCCGTGGGGGCTGGGCTCCGCTCTGGGGAAGGGCGCTAGGCAGGGAGATGGCTGGTTGCCCCGGGTAACCTTTGGCTCTCTCCAGAGGAGCCGGGCACTAGTTGCCTTCCATCCCTGCCCGGTGGGGGCAGGGACCCGCCTGACTGGGCCTGGCTCCTCTCAGCTGAACCGGGAGCCGCCTGCCTAGGAGCTGGGATGGGCACAGGGTCCGAGGGGTGTGGCGGGGGGGGGGGGGGCTCTGCAGCACCTGTCCAGCACCTTGCACACACAGCGCCCGGCGGGGCTCCTGGCCCCCTGCTGAATGGTGACTCCGCGGGGGAAAACCCACCACGGGCAGCGCCCGCTGGCCCCAGCC